GTCTAATGTCTGAGGAGACTCCATCAGGTCTAATGTCTGAGGAGACTCCATCAGGTCTAATGTCTGAGGAGACTCCATCAGGTCTAATGTCTGAGGAGACTCCATCAGGTCTAATGTCTGAGGAGACTCCATCAGGATGAAGGTGAAATCTGCATTTTTTTAAATCTTGTTAAAATCTGGTTCAGTCTCGTTCTCCCAGAACCACGACCTCGTCTCGTGACTCCATTTATAAACATTTTGTTGCCACGTGTGTTGAATCTCATCGACCCGTCGTGCACAAGTGGTTGTGTAACGTCTGACGGTGAAACTCGATGACCTCCTTTCTCTTTGTTTTAACGACGGACCTCGTCTTTTTGCCGCCAGACGTTCCAGGTGGATTTGATGGAGAGTCGGCTCGGCCATCTTGAAGACGAGCGTCGGACAGCGGAGGAGGAGGCTGCAGGCCTGCGCAGCCAGCTGGGCCGAGCTCAGGAGAAGGTACACGCCTGTAATGGTTTTACCTGAGGAACCAAATGTGTTTGTAAGTTTCTTGCTGCAGCGTCACGGAGTTGACGTGTGTCCATCGTGAAGCAGCTGCTGTCCAATCTGACATGTTTCTGTTCCGTTGGAGGCGAGGGCTGTGGACGAAAGTCTTCAGGCGGTGAACCGGCAAACGTCTCGTCTGAAGTCGGAGCTGCAGGTTCTGCAGCAGGAGAGGGATTTCCTGAAACACGAGGTCTCCGTGCTGCACAAACAGCTGCAGAACTCCAGCAGCAAAGTGAGCTTTTATTTTCTGAACGTTTATGAAACATCCACTCTGTTCTCATCCATTTTTCTCTCAGACAGTTTTCAGCGTCGTTCTTGTCCCACGGTGTTAAAGCTATTTCAACAAACCATCAATCAAAACGTTCGGCTCGTTCAGGACAATCCTGCTGTGACTTTTGGTGCAACTTTAGCTTTTTGAAATATTTAGCCTTTTCTGACTTTTCTTTTTCTCATAGACAATGAATTGAGCTCATTTTACATCCTTCAAATCTTTAGATGTGTTCACAACCTTTTACTGCTCCTTTCACATTTTGTTCTGCTTCAGCTTCTTTCAGCTTCTTTCTGCAAATTTAAACTGTTTTTCAGCTACTTTCAGCTGTTTTGTGCTCCTTTCAGATTATTTCTGCTTATTTCAGTTTGATACGCTCCTGTCAGCTTACGTCTGTGAATTTCAACTTTTTCTGCAATTTCAGCTACTATTTAGCTATTTTATGCTAATTTAAGCTTTTTAAGCTAATTCCACATTTTTTGCACTCATTTCAACTTTTTTTAGCCTAATTAAGCAAAATGTGTTCTCTCCACGTCCTTCTGGTAACTTAAGCTTCTTTCTGCTTTTTTTAGCTACTTTTCGGCAGTTTTTTTTTTCTCCTAATTTCAACTTCAGATTATTTCCACTTTTTGTGCTCATTTCTGCAACTTTCAGCCTAATTAGCTTTATGCTCCGTTCAGCTTTTTTCTGTTAGTTTCAGCTTTTTCTGCTCTTTCTTCTACTATTTAGCTCTTTTGATGCTAATTTTAACTTCTTTTTTTTTTTACTAATTTCACTTTTTTTAGCTCATTTCATTTCTTTCCACTTCCTTCTAGTAGTTTAAGCTTCTTTCTACCTTTTCAGCTATTTTTGTGCTGATTTCAGCCTCTTTTTTAGCCGATTTCCTACTATTTGTGCTAATTTCTGCTTATTTAAGCCTAATTCTGCACATGTACCCTTTCTACTTTCTTCTGCTAATTTAAGCTTAATCTTCAATTTCAGCTACATTTCAGCATGTTTTTAGCTAATTTCAGCTGTTTTTCAGCAAGTTCTTCTGCAATAAGCATTCACACTGCATTTTTGCAGAAAATGTGATTTCTCTAGTTTTTGTTCGGCATGATTTCCGTGGAACTCGACCAGAGCAGGACGGTCACCTTCATGTCTGTTCTCAGAACCATATTTTGGAGATGGCCTTGCACTCGAGCGGTTCGCAGAATCTGAGCAAGAAGCTTTTCAGAGAAGAGCTGTCTCGGCTGATGGGGCAGGAGCAGCAGCTGCTGAGGCAGGAAAACAGCCGGCTTCAGGCCGAGGTGCACATCATCAAGAGCAGCCTCCTCCAGTCCAAAGAGAAGGTCCGCTGACACAACAAACACATTTATTTTTGTCTTCCTGTGCTGTGATTCGTGTGTTCTGGGTTCGGTTCTGTCAGGTCCGTCAGCTCGACGCCACAGTTCTGTTACTGAACAAACACAAGCAGCAGAGCCAGCTATCGGCTGTGAAAGCCTTGGAAGAGGAGAACGCCTCTCTGAAACAGGAACTGGAGCTGGCTAAGGTATGAAGCGCACCCGTTACACCAGGGAACCTCAGAACGCGACGGTCCTGACCGCTCTGCTTTCAGGGCTGTGAAGTTGGACGAGACCAGGCGGACGTGGAGAGTCTTCAGCAAGAGAACGAGGCGCTCAGAGCCCAAATGGCCCAACTGTCCTCACAGGTTCTGGAGGTACTCCGTGATTCTGACTCCATCGTGCTTTAATGTTTCCGCTCACAGATGTGTTCGGTCGTGACCAAACGTTTGGAGAAGGAAACAAATGGTGGTTTTCACAAAGTTGCTGCCTCAGTTTTGATGGCGGCACCTTGTGGAGTGATCGGATGAATTGTGAGGACGTTGCTGCTTGTAAGACCCCAATCAACCCTTTGTAGAATCATCTAGAACTTCAAGGAGACTGGTTCAGTTGCAGTGAAGAAGACTTCAGGGTGACCAAGAAGGTCAAACAAGGGGTACTTATCCGATAAATGCTCTACTACCCTATAAGTACTCTGGTAGATACACAATACGACCCTAATGATCTTGTTACCTTTTAACATTTATTTTATTACATCGAATCATAAATGCAATAAACAGAACCCAAAACACAAACCAAAAATATATATATGTATATATTATTATTATTTTTATTTTCTTAAGTGGGCCGGATTGAAGTCACGGCCCGCGGGCGTCCAGTTGAATAGCCTGCCCTAATGGGTACTCACCAGTTTACTTGGTGAGTACCAAGTACAACCGAACATGTACCAAGTATGTATTATGTAGGTATCCAGGTACTTGCCAGTACGTATGAAGCAAGTATAAGGTAAGTACCCAGGTGGCACCTTGTGAGTACCAGGAACACACTGGGTACGTAGATTAATTAGGTACAGGGTACATACTGAGCTGTGTTGCTTCTGAGTAAACATTCCTGCTCGTCTTCAAAACGTTCCTTTTTAAGAGAGGAGTTGTAAATACCCTCCGTCCATGTGAGTATTGTTTATTCCTTAACTTTTATTTAAACCAGACGAATCCCACTGAGATCACAGATCTCCTTTGTACGGGCGGTCTGGGCCTGGAGGCGGACTAACATGCATGTTTTTGGTCTGTGGGAGGAAACCGGAGTACCCGGAGAAAACCCACGCAGCACAAGAAGAACGTGCAAACTCCACACAGAAAGACCCCAGGTCCAACTGGGGATTGAACCCAGGACCATCTTGCTGTGAGGCAACAGTGCTAACCACCAAGCCATCGTGCTGCAGTATAACGTAAAATAAGCAACATTTTGGCGTGTGGCTGCATCTAGGTATAAGAAAGTTCTATTGAAATTTGGGTTGTTGCATCAACATCCATCCATCCATCCATCCATCCATCCATTATCTTTACCCGCTTATTCCATTTTGGGTCACGGGGGTCGCTGGTGCCCATGTCCGGCAATCACTGTGCGAGGGGCAGGGTGCACCCTGGACAGGTCACAAGTCCATCACAGGGCGCGTCAAAATCCAAGATGGTTAAAGATTAAATGATTGGGGTGGCCAAAGATTAATCTATGGTTGTCAAGGCCACCATTGGCCACCCCCTGGCTCCTCCACTGCTCCTGCTGGTGGATAAACTTGTTCCCTCCAGGATCCGTCGCTCTGCCTCAAAGAGAACCTCCCTCTGCTCTTCTCTGCACTGTATCCTCTATCTGCTTTAATATTTTGCACTAAAAACATTTAGGTTTACTTCCATCTGCTCAGTTCCTGCCCAGAAAAACACCCGTCACCAAAATCTTCATTCACCGTTCGAGTCCCTCAGCGACCGGACGTTGGCGCTTGTTATGAAAGTGAAACAATTTCTGACGCCTGAGACATTAAAGATGAATAAATTATACCTCTGCACATTTTAATGTTTTTATTTAATTTAACATGTTTTGTTCTTTCAGTCGTTTCAGGCTCAGTGGGGCGGTCTTCTGCCTCCCGCACCTCACAGGGTGCAGAGGGGACCACACCGCGGGGAGGAACCAGACCACCTGCAGGTACAGGACCATCAAACATCTAGTGGGCGCACGCTCAAAGATTTAAAGAAGTTTAAAACGTCGCAGTGAAGCCGGACGTGTCTGTTTTTACAGTTCGTACCTGATTCTGATCAAAGTGTTTCCTCCCAGAGCGTCCGTCTCTCTGTTTGTCCCTCACGGCCATTTTGTTTTGTCACCTTCAGTTTTTGTGAATTAAAAACTGGGCTGAGCCTCACGATGCTTATTATTTGACGTAATATAATTTAAAAGTGTTTCACTCAGTTCAGATGCTGGTAACGGTTTTATCAAAGTTTAAACGTCAGTTCTGAGTGATGCGTTATTTTCATGTCTTTGTGATTCTGGAGCTGTTTTTCTTGTGTTCCGCCACAGATCCATCTCATCTGTCTGTCCTGACGTTTCTCGTGGCTGTTGACTTTCTGGGTTTGGTGTTCTCTCTGTGGAGCCTTTTGTTGGGGAAGAACTCGCTTTCTTTATTTACGTTTCCGTCTCGGGACTGAAGTAGTTGGTGTGGGTGCGGTCTTCAACTCGTGTTGCACAAACATCGCTCTCTGTCACCAACCAGCCGAGGCTCACTCACATGTTTGTTTTGTGCGTTTTTATTATCGAGCGCGTGAAGCGATCGGAGCCTGAGGGAGACGTCCACACGAATAACTCCACCACTGAAACAGAAGTTCTCCTGATCAGACGCAGACCGCAGTAGGTGAGGGGTGTGGCCACCATCTTGCTAGGTGCTGCATGCCTCACTTTGTTGTGAGCATGATGACTTGGAAAATAAGAGAGAGTAAATACGCTCAATCATCCAGGTAAATAAATCACAAAAAAGTTAAATCGTGTCATCTGGACAGTTTCATTTTTGGAAGAAATGTTTAGTTTTTCCTCTGAAAGACTTCTTCAGTCTGAGGCCTGCCAACAGGATCTGTCGTATAAATAGCACCTTGTTGACGTGTCTCAAACCAGTTTGCTGTGGAGTTCCCAGAAACTGGCTGTACACATGCAAAATGGAGGAGCGTCAGTCTAGAACAATCGATTATCAGTGCATGACAGTCACATGTTAAAGTCAAAATGGCCGCTTACTGCTCGTAGAACCAGCCTGAGGACAGCCTGGTTAAAAAGAAAAAGAGCAGGTACGCTCAATCATCCAGGAAAATAAATCAATACCAAATCAATTATTCATTCATTCAACCTTTATTTAGACGGGTTAATCCCATTGAGCCTCGGGGACTCATTTACAAGAGAGACCTGATTTTAACAAAGAGTGATGACAACAATACACAGCCACAAAAGAGGCATACAGATTTAATAAATTATTGTTTTTTTTTAAACAAATCAAAACAAAATCGCAACCAAAAGGACAGTCAAAAATAAAAGGAGCTAAGAAAAAAAAACAGCTAGATTATTATTAATGATCAATTATTAAAATTTAAAATAATTATTCATTAATACTTTAAAAACAAATAAATAAATACCAACTTCCATTTTGGTGTGTGGCTGCATAGGCTTAAAAAGGTCACTATCAAAAATGGCATATTGTCACATCCAAATCCAAGATGGCCGCCACCTTAGGTATGTGAACCAGCCAATCCCAGTCATTTGAGGAAACTGTTTTCTAGTTTTAAATTGCTTAAAATTATATTTCCTCAAATAACTGGGGTAGCCAAAGATTAATCCATGGGGGGCCAAGGCCACCATTGGCCACCCGCCGGCTCCTCCACTGCACCTGGTGGTGGATAAAATGTCTCCCTCCGCTCAGGACCTGTCTATCTGTGCTGCCTGGGACAAGTAAATGATCAAGTCAAACTTCCCTCAGTTCTCCTCAGTGACTCCGCCCCACTTGAATATCTTGTGCTAAAAACATTTAGGTTTACTTTCATTATCTGTTCAAGTCAATTCCAACACTGAGCTTCTTGGTCAAGTTGAGGTGTTTTTACTCAGATAAACATTGTGTCAGTCTCTCAGGATGCCCTAGCACTTAGCAAGATGGCGTGACGACTTCTCACCTCATTAATAGACGGCGCTGCTGTTGGACGTTTCAGTGAACTCGACTATGTTTATCTTTATTGAACAGTTTGGAGAGGTTTTAGAAAACTCTTCATGTTTTTTTTTTTCCTAAAGATCCAAACCCGAAGCAGTCTGGATTTTTAGGATTAAAGTTTCAAAAAAAGTTTAAAAAGCTCAATCATCCAGGCAAACAAATAAAAAAAAAGGTTAATTCATGTCATCTGGACAGTTTCTTCTTGGAATAATCGTCCAGATGACCTAGTTTTCACTGGTTTTCACTGGTTTTCACTGGTTTTCACTAGTTTTCACTAGTTTTCACTGGTTTTCAGTGGTTTTCAGTGGTTTTCACTGGTTTTCGTTGGTTTTCGTTGGTTCGCCTCCCTCAGCAGCTCGTGCGAGCGTTGAGGGTTCGAGGTTGAACGCTGGTGAAGTCTTCCTGCCTTTTCTCCTCAGGGGCCGATGCCGGAGCAACGAGCCGCTCACGCAGACAACTACAGGCGGATCGGCGGACTGTGACACCCGCCGCCTTCCATGCTCTTAATCCTTAACTGAAACAAACCTCGTCCTCCTCGTCCGTGCGGGAGGTTGTGCAGGAAGGAGGTGCTGGTCCGAAGGGCTCCGTGTATTTTCTGCTGCTGGGTGGCAGAACGCACAACCATCGGCTCTTTCCCCCTGACGGGCTCTGAATAATGACAATTACAGAATGTAACATCTGCTGTGCATAAAGTTTAATCTGGACAAATTATCCTCGGGTTTAAAAATCTCTCCTGATCAATGTTTTAATATTTGTTTTTTGAATCACTTGTACTTTTAAAAACTGTGACAGGCTAAATATTTCTGGACGTTCGAGTCCCGGTGGAAGGTTACGCTGAGGTGCAGTCTGTGCACCGGTTCCTGTGACGTCCTTATCGGACTTTTTTTATCTTGGGTCAATAATTTATGCTGTAAAATGTGTTGGACCTGTTCTGATGCACCGACCAAAGTTAATCACAACTTTCTCATTTAATGTTTGTCATTTTCACAAAGTTGTTCCCAGCCTCTTGCTGTAGTAATTATTATAAAGTATAATTATTATAAAGTATAATTATTATAAAGTATAATTATTATAAAGTATAATTATTATAAAGTATAATTATTATAACGTGGTGTCATCAGCGCACGTTGGTGTTTGTTTTTATGTATTTTAGTTTTTCCGCCACCTGTTTCTCATCGTGTTTATAGAGTTAAAGGTATATTTATTATTTAAATGTATTTACTTTGATAGTGTTTATTTTATTAATTTAATTTATTTTATAGGTTGATCTGGATCATATTTATTTATTAGAATGTTGCTGTTTTTCCGTGAATGTATTGGTCTTTACTGCAGACGAATCTAATTAAAATAAAGACACGAGTTTGTTGTTTTTTTTACTTTTGAAGCTGCTTCAAGTCTGAATCGTCGTTTTCTCTTCGTTTGACCTCTGGAGGATCAACTTGATGAATCCGTGGTTTGTTTTCAGCAGGCGGAGAGGGAGAGGAAGATGAGGGTCATGGAGCAGCGGATGAAGGAAATCGAACTGTCGCTGCGTAACGTCAAGCTGCTGCTGAAGGAGAAGGTCGCTCAGCTGAAGGACCAGGTCCGAACACTTCTTCACGTCAGGCTTTTATTTTGTTAAAAACACTGTTCCTCATCGGTTAGAAGAACTCTTTCCAGGTGTAGGTTCTATGGTCCAGGTGTAGTTTCTATGGTCCAGGTGTAGTTTACATGGTCCAGGTGTAGGTTCTATGGTCCAGGTGTAGTTTCTATGGTCCAGGTGTATTTCCTATGGTCCAGGTGTAGTTTACATGGTCCAGGTGTAGTTTACATGGTTCAGGTGTAGTTTCTATGGTCCAGGTGTAGTTTACATGGTTCAGGTGTAGTTTCTATGGTCCAGGTGTAGTTTACATGGTCCAGGTGTAGTTTACATGGTCCAGGTGTAGTTTACATGGTCCAGGTGTGGTTTATATGGTCCAGGTGTAGTTTACATGGTCCAGGTGTGGTTTCTATGGTCCAGGTGTAGTTTCTATGGTCCAGGTGTAGTTTCTATGGTCCAGGTGT